CCTGCATATTCCACTGCCTGTGGTGATAGATGAGATAGATTCATTATCAGCACCAGCAGGAGCTGGCTGGCCCACTTCTACTGACCTTAACCTATTAGACAACTGCGAATGTGCTTTCCTAACTTTTTGTGTATCTGAGTTCATTCCAGTGTCTTGTCATTAGTTGTCAAGCAGGGTGGTGCACGTCTGTAATCCCAGCACTTGGGAGGCAGAGGCAGGAGGATCGCTGCAAGTTCAAGGCCAACCTGTGCTACACAGTGAGTTCGAGACCAGCCTGAACTACATAGCAAGACCCTGTCTCAAAAAACCAAAACAAAAACAATATGATGTTATTAGACAGAAACTTGGGATAAAAACCGACAAAAATGGGATCTTACTAAGAATTATTTTGAAGTCCAACAGTTAGATTAAAAAATAAATTTCATGAGTAGACATTTGGCCGAAATTCACATCTGCCCTTGTGGATTTTCATGCCCTGTGCTATCTTGGGTAACTGGGAGTCAGACTGGAAGTGACTGCCACTGAAAGTGGCCTAGTTGGTTAGTATGAAGTCAGCGTTCTCAGAAGAGATGAGGCAGAGAACTGTCAGAGAGGACAAAGACATGAGCCCGGCCGAGGTGTGGTAGCTGATCAGCAAGAAAGCAAAATGGGGGACAGCAACGTCGAAGCTTAGCGATGAGCACTCTTGAGCTAAGCTTGTCCTGCTCAGCGATCTCTCTGGCTGGCTTGCTGCGGAGACGCCGCTGAGCCCCTTATTGCACCCTGCTCCTCAGCACTGGCCACTAGTCCGCTGCTTCTGGGCTGTCTGCCCCGTACACATGCCCCGTCATTCCCGCTTCCTTGCCGCTGGCCATGCTCACATTCCTACGATTTCCTTCCCTCTGTCACACCGGCCTTCAAATGTTCCTCTCAGGCCCTGCGTCTCTGAAGCTCTCGTGACTGCTTTCCCTCCCTCCCAGCTCTGTGTAAAGGAATACATATGGCCCACGTGTCATAGGGCAGTGTCAAGGGGATGTCTCCCTCAACAAAATTATTAACTCCTAGGTAGTTTGTGAGCTTTGAAAGGACAGGCACTGTGTCTCCAAGAGATCACGTGGTACAGGAAAGAGTATGACTGGGAAAAGTAATCTAGTATTTAATCTTAGGTCTTTTTGGCCTTTAACTTCCCTCTGTGAAAAAATAGGATTATGATTTCATGCTGGTTCCCTTACACAGGGGATCAAATGTTGAGAACCAGTGATCACAGGTGACTTCATTTTTAACTTGTAAAGAACTCTACAAAACTAAAGGTTTATCATAACTGGTTCCATCATATTATTAAAAAGAGCAAGGAAATTCGAGGTTTTGAATTTTGAACTATATTTTAATTCCTGCTCTACCACTGAATACATGATCTTAGAGAAGTTTCTTCTCTTGTAAAATGAGAAAGATCCTGTGCTCACTTTGGCAGCACATATACTAAAATGAGAAAGATCCTATTGCAAGGATTATAGTGCTAGAGTTCGCTCATATACTAATTTGCAGGAGCCCCTTGTCAAATATTTCCAGTCTTTGTAAGCAGGTTGTTAAGCCATTGTTAGCTTGAAATCTGTTGTGGTGAGAATATTTCTATTAGGGAAATGATCAAACACTACGAATCAGGCAATGGTTGCCTTTTGAAGAGCTGGTTTACCAGGATACAATTGATTATGTAAACCGGGCTCTGTAAGTTGTAAAGCACTTTGTCTTATTTCTCATTAAAAACAATAATGGTAACAATTATATTCCATATCCACAGAATCTAGTTTAGTGTGTAGCCCTGCTCTTCATATATACATATTTAATTAGTGCGTGTTACATTTAACTTGTACTATCTTGAAACTTTTGTGCCTGAGTGAAATGACCTCCATATATTTACCTTTTTTCATATCCCTCTCTACAAAGTTTCTTTTTAAAACCAGAGAACATAAGTAAAAGTCTGGCTGAGCATACAACACAGCGTGAGCCTCAAATTCTGTATGTCCAGAGCTGAGCTGAAAATCTCCTGATCAGATCTTTTTTTCTGGTACCTCATATCTATCATTGACATTGTCCATCTGTGCATTACCCCAGATAAATTATTTGGAAAGTCTCCCTCTCTCCATTGTCCTCATCCACCCCCCATGTCCAGTGAACTACTACCTCTCCAGTCCTACCCAGTTCTACCTCTTAAATCTATCCTGTCTTCTTCATCACCAGCGCTGCTGTTTTGGTTAGAGCCATCATCATTGCTTTATTGGCCTGTACCACCTAACTGGGCCTTCAGTCTTTTCTTTCAATCCAACTTCTACTTCTATAGATGTGATTTTAATTAATAAGTCTGACCAAATCACCCCCTCACTTAAATTCATAAATGGTTCTCTGTTGTTTTAAGGATAAAATCCAAAAGATGTACTTTGTCACCCAGATTGACATTTGCCACTTTTTCTAAGAGTTGGTTGTCTCCTTCTGCTCCCTTCCCTGGGACACCCAGTCTTTTTTTTTTTTTTTTTTTTTCTTGTACTCCCTATTTGTATTATCGATATATTCTGTACTGTGTTCAAGACAGATTGAGCTTATTGACCTCATTTTTTTTTTTTTTTTTTTTTTTTTTTCTCAGTGACCCTTAATTCACCCTTCACAACTCAACTCAAATCTTCTTCCATAACACCTCTAGACATATTTGATGTCTAGATTTTTCTGAGGTTCCATAGCACTTTGTACGTACCTTCATACCATGTCTAACCATGCGACTGTTCTTTATTGGTCTTTTCCTGTAGGTGGTAAGCTCCTAAAAGGGAGAAGCCAGCAGCATTTGTTAGTGCCTAACATTTTCCTCAGCAGATATTGAATGGATAGATGAATGAATGAAGGAGAGTTCGGAGGCTAGGGTATTTTCATTGGTTCATGAATACAAACTATTCATAAGATATGTATGGAAATGAGAAAGAAGGTTTAAATTTGGGGTCTCGGTAATGAGACAAGAAAATAATAATAAAACAGAAAAGTCTGTTTCTATCTGTAATCCCCAATTTAGAATACTGCAACGCCTCATCATCTTCAGGGTGAAATCTAAAGTTCCTTACAATCAGACCATCTGCCCATTCGAATCTTTCTCTGTGCATATACATGTGACCTACATCCCAGACACTGAATTTTTCATCTATCTGATACTCTTTCAACCTCGCCCTCATTCATCCTTCCCCTGTACCAGTAATACCTTCTCCCTCTTTGCCACCCATGCCTTTCTCACTCATCTGATGAATTCTTGCACTTCAAATGGATCAGAAATGACTACCTTGAGTGCCTATGCCTGAAACTATCCTCTGCCTTTTATGCTCTCAGTGCCTGATTCATAATTTGCACCGTACTGTCAGTATTCACGGGCCTGTCTTTTGACTTCAGCAAAGTAAGGTCACTTTATACCCTAGCTCCTAGCATATTCCAAATGCTTCATTCAGAGTGAAGAAACCAAGGTCTATTGTGTAGAGATATGAAAAGAAAGCAAATTTCTGATAAGAACATACTTTGAATGATTTTTACAAATTTTAAAAAGAGAATATGAGTTGTGTGTGTAGCAGGGACCAAAGCCAAGGCCTCACATAAAATTTTAAATGCATTTTTATTGGCATATAAAATTATACATGTGTACATGGTACCATGTGATGTTTTGATAAATGTATATATATTATATAATATTTAAATCAGATTAATCATATCTATTTCTTCAAATATTTATTATTTGGTGAAAATATTCCAAATCCTTTCTTCTAGGTTCTTTGAAATATAGAGGACGTTATCATTACCCACAGTCATCCTAGAATCAGAACATACCTTATTTCTCCTAGTGAGCTGTAACTTAGTAACCACTTGACCAAGTTTTCTCCATCCCTCCCTCCCCTGTACCTTCCCAACCTCTGGTGACCAATATGTTACTGTCTTCCACTGCAAGACCAACTAGTTGAGACTGTACATATGAGTGAGATCAATATGGTACTTAATTTTCTATGGCCAGCTTATTTCAGCTAACATAACGTTTTCCATTTCCACGTTGTCACAAATGACAGGATTTCTTCCTCTTATGACTAACTGATTTTCTGTGTGCACGTGTACAACATTTTCCTTATCCATTCATCCATTGATGGTCACCTAGGCTGGTGTTATTTTATGTGAATAAAGCTGCAATAGACATGAAAGTGCAGATGTCTCTTTGACATATTGATCTCTTTTCCTTTGATATATACCCAGTACTGGGATTGCTGCATTGTATATTAGTTCTATTTTTAATTTTTTGAGGAACCACTACACTGTATTTCAGAATGTCTGTACTAATTTACATGTCCACACACGAATGCCAAGGGTCCCTTCCTCCTGTACTTTGCTGACATTTATTCTCATTCCTTGTTTCTTTTGTGAAATGTCTATTTAGGTCCATTGCCCATTTTTAAGTGGATTCTTTGTTTTTATGCTTCTGACTTGAGTTCTTTACATAATTCTCAATAGTAGCCCCTTATCAGGTGTATGGTTTGCAAATATTTTCTCCCATTCTATAGATTATCTCTTCACCCTATAAATTGTTTCCCTTGCTGTGCAAAAGCTTTTTAGTTTACTCTGTGTGTGTCCCTACTAACACAGAATTTTTAGAATACCTTGAAAGTCACAACAACCTAAATCTGTTCCAAATCTAACCACCTAAAATTAACTATTGTTAATTCTTTGAGTGGTTTTTTTATCCCTGAGCTTTTTTCTTATGTGTGTTTATGTATCCTTTCAAATAAAATTTCAAGCTAATGTTATATGTATTGTTCTAACCTTTTTATAATAACATATCATACATTTTCTCATATCAGTAAATAATTTTTGATTGCTGCACAGTATCTCATCACGTGGACTACACTTCAGTGTAAACTTTCATATCGTTTCAGTGCTCTAATTATATAAATTGAAGTGTTGCAGAGTGGATGCTAGAAAGGGTAGCTCATGTCCTCCTCTTGTTTTCCCAGGTTTTCGTGCCCCCTCTTGCACCAGACCTCTGTCCTACCTGTCCTCTGAGTGTCATCTCAGCACCTTGGTCACCCTCATGGCACAATGGCCAGCCCTCAGGAGCGCCTGAGCTGCTCCTCCTCTCCACACTTACCCTTCAGTGACAACAAAACCTTCCACGGACTCCAAGATGAGCTCACGGCTATGGGGAACCACCCATCACCCAAGCTCCCTGAGGACCAGCAGGAGAAGGGGGTTGTGGGAACAGAGCTCACCGAGAGCATGAACAGCCCCGTCACCACCACTGTGTTGACCAGCATAAGTGAAGATTCCAGGGACCAGTTTGAGAATAGTGTTCTTCAGCTGAGGGAACAAGATGAATCGGAGACGGCTGTATCTCAGGGGAACAGCAGCACCGTAGAGGGAGAGAACACCAGTGGAACCGAAGACATCAAGATTCAGTTCAGCAGGTCAGGCAGCGGCAGTGGTGGGTTTCTTGAAGGACTGTTTGGATGCTTGAGGCCAGTGTGGAATATCATTGGGAAGGCTTATTCCACTGATTACAAATTGCAGCAGCAAGGTAAGCTAAAGTGTGGGCTTGGAAGATACTTCTTACATAAACACACCATCACCATCACCATCACTATGGCAACTGTGACTGCCACTATTAACTGGATAATCTTTGACATGTGGTAAATTTAAAAACTAGGTCAGATGACTCCCTATCCTTTTGGACCTTCTGAATGGAACAAATTCACATTTGCTGGATCTCTTTTGGTTGGAGCCCATCTTTTGTGATTGTCCAGTCTCACAGTATTCAAAGTAGAATATATGCAAGACAATCCGAGAGTTATAAGAAGAAAATATTAGAGCTCCTGCTTATCTCATCACTTCAAATTTCTATTTTCACGTCTCTCTTCAGATGTACCTGATATTCCAATATAGTTGTGCAAGTATATACTTTATAAATAAATCAAGCTATGAGTGTATGCATAAAATTTTTTTTACCAATAGTCTAAATGTATTTACTGACAGTAATGTGCAGTCTGTATTACTGATGGCTAAAGTAGAAAACGGTGGCACATTATAGTACCAGCTACTCAGAGATAGGTGTGGGCAGAAGGAACACTTGAGCCCAGGAATGTGAGGCCAGTCGAGGCAACATAATGAGACCTTATCTCAAAAAAAGTCTGATGGCCAGTGGACTAATTCAAAACTAGACAGGGCCAGGGATTTAGCTCAGTGGTGCCACCACCTGCTGCGCAAGCACAAGGTCCCGAGTTCGATCCCCAGTACCAACAAAACAAAACAAAACAAAAAATGACAGGAGCCACATATAATACCCTGGAAGATGACAGGACTACCTTATTATTTATTATTATTGCCTTCCAGTAAAGGCATAGAAAGCTCACATTTTCAAAAACATGCCTAACCAATCTTGAGAATCATATTATCTCTAGATCCCACAGCTTTTCCAGTAGTGAATTTTTAACTTCCGTCATGTGTAAAATGTGTACTCAGATACTTCGCCCCAGGTATTATGGTTTTCAAGTAGAAGGAACATATAGCCTTGCTGTTCTTTACAGCTTCATTTTAGTCTCTAAAAGAATATTTTTGATAACAAAAGTAATATATGTGTGAAACTTTGGAAATACAGGCAAGTTCCCCCCAAGAAAGTTAAAATTGTCTCTGGTCCTCAATCTCTTGAGAATAACCACCATTAAATTTAAGAATATAAATGGGGGCTGCCACTCGGTGGGAGAGCACTTGCCTAGATACAAGGCACTAGGTTTGAGCTCAGCACTGGGGGAGAAAAGAATACATTATGTTATCTATTTGTGTATGTGTGCATACTTTTAAAAAAAATCAAGTCATACTGTTTTGTGACTTTCATTTCATATTGTCAGTATTTTTCATTTTTTTAATATAATAATTCAGCATTACTTTAATGGCTTACATAATATTAAGTTGTCTAAATGTGCCAGTATTTATTTAAGCAATCCCCTACTGCTAGACAATTTGTTTGTATTTTTAGTGATCAGAAGGCACGTTGCAATGAACTTCTGTCAGTTACTTTTTTTGCACACATCTTTGATTAAGTCCTTAAATTCCGCGAGAGTTGGATTGGAAAGGTGTGTTGTTTTTAAGGCCTTTGATATGCACCATAGTAGCATTATTTAAATGATTTTGTTTTTGTATTCTTTCATCAAGAAATTCTAGAAGGAAAAAAAATACAGACCAAGAATGAGATTGTTCTCTTTAGTTGCTCTCTGCGCCTTCCTTAAAACCCCTTCCATCTCTCTTAGTCCCGATTATTGACAGCTTTTCCAGAACAGCCTGTTGACATCAGTCACATTAACCCCTCTTCTCATGCAGTCTTCCTCCTGTTTCTCAAGTACATTCTCTTGGGCCAAACACCAGCTTCCTGTATTCATTCCCCATAAGTAAATTGGGGTTTACTAGTAACCTTAGCAATCCTAGGTGCTTGTCAGGATTTGTCTACCACAGCATCTATTTCTGGGCAGCCTAGAAATTCTTCATCACTTTTATATATCTGTCTCTTTCCTACATATTCCCATACCCTTCAATGTCTGTTCCCCTCTACGATTTCAAGGTTTATAGAAATTAAAGTTGTTCCTTGACACACCTATGTTAACTAGTATTATTCCTTTTTAAAGTGGGAATAAGGATTAGCACAGACAGAAAAATAAAAAAGTACTTTTGATCCCACAACCCATTCTTGATAACCGTATTTTATTATTTTTTCAAAGTTCCCCATTCTCTGCTTAGACACACAACTTACTTATATCTACTTATGGAATAAACTGCGTTTGGTTTATAGGGTCTTGACTTGTCTATTCTCATACTTATTTGGGGGATATTTTGGAAGTCTCAGTATCCAAATACATCACTGAGTTCAGATTTACCAACAGGGGTAACAGACCCCTCCAATGTGTCTGCTAAAGGAGCCTTTTCATTTGTTCGTTGTTCTACATACTTGCATTTAATTTGCCTCCCAGTTGATCATGGGATTTCAGAAAGGCTTCTTTCAGGAATAATTAAGAAACATCCAGTCAGTTTAAGACTTCCAAGGGTTCGGCAGATGCCTAACTCCTGGGCAGATTGCAGGATAGTCTGCTGAGGGCTGGTATTGCTTTGTCCTGAAAAGAGATTTGTCTGCCAGAAACTGAATGTAGTGTTTTCCTTGTCAGTTCTGGGATCAAGGAGCTAATCTTTAATCCGCCTTGCAGTCCATCAGAGGATAACATATGTAACAAACATTTGGTACTTAGGAGAAAATTTCACTAGATTTAAAAAATTTGAATGATTTCCCCTTGAGACTGTTAATAGTAAAGCCAAAGTAAGGTACTACAGGTTATTGAAATCTTTTATTGCCAAATAGTTTCCAGCTACCTCCCTTGATGAATATGTGGGAGTGCATAGTTTTATACACCCTTATCACTCCCTTTTCCCCACTCTCCCATCCCTTGCCTCCCTACTAAGTGTGCGTGCAGACCAAGAGATGAGTCAGAGAGCACTGAATTTACATCCATTCATTTTACTTCTGACAATTAGTTCTACTAGAAAGATCAGTGGAAACACACTGGCAGATTATTTACACTCTGTGTTTTTGAACTATTAACGCCATATCCTTCACTCATACCTGGATAATTAAGGCTTGGCTGAATGTAGCTGAATAATAAGATACAAGCCACTAATGGTTCAGGAGAATTTTATTCTTTATTATAATACCTTGAACAGTTGGCACCCGAATGCCAAATGCATTTGTTATTTGTATTTTAATAATTCATTTATGTCTTATTTTATAAAAATATTAAATAATAGGCAGTGTTTCTTAAAATACAGTAATTATAATGTAAGTATTACAAAGCAATATGAAAAGAAAGGATTATTGAACATATTACTTTGGAACTATTGAATAACAATGTGGTTAAAAATTCATTTACATCTGTCCTCACACCATACACCAAAATAAACTCCAGATGTATATAAAGGTTAATTTTTTTAAAAATCAACTATAGATGGCTTTTTAAAACTATATTAGGAGAAAATTATAAAAGAGAGAAATGATAAATTATACAAAATAGTTTGCTCCGAAATAATAAACCTAGAAGAAAAAGGCTTATAAAAATATTCTCTTCATTTGTATCAAAGAAACAGAGAGAAAGAGCTTCTTCAAATTTATGAGAACTATGAAATCCTAATAGATAACTGGACAAGGAGATTTTCACTGTTAACAGAAAGCACATATATTAAACAAATGTGTAGAAAATATTCTGTATTAGGGACCAACTACTGAAAGCTTATAAAACACTTAGTCAGGTTAGAACGAAAAAAAATAGCTGATAATACTGCTAGCAGACTTATGGCAAAACCAATATCTTCATACTCCACTACTATCAACAAAAACTAGTAAGTCCTTTTGGATAGCATTTTGGAATACATGTATTCCAAGAGCCAAGAAACATTTTACCCTTTAACCTAGGAAGTGCATCTAAACAGATAATGTAAAGAGCTACAAATCAAATTTAAATGATGCAGAATACATAGTACATGAATCAAGTAGGAACTTTTAGAAAAAGCTACCCAACATTGGACTAGTTTTAGTAGTTGTATTAAAAATTAAGCTATTCATCCCAGAATTCAGTAAAGGAATTGTTTTCAGCCACCATATATATGTGCATATTCAAAGCAGCCAAGCCCATAACTTGCTGTTTCCTCCCAAACCTCACTTGCTGTCATTTATTCCTTTGGTGATTTCATATTTGTGAGCTGTTTGTATCTTAGAGAGATTCTCTTTTATATAGCATCTGTTCATTTTCATTAGAGCAGAAACTTCCAATACCGCTCCTATCAGAAGAATGGGATGAATGCCCATGCTGTAAAACGCCTTTGCTATAATTCTTTTTTCTGCTCCAAGGAGCTGTATTAGAAACCTCATTTTATTAAGAAGCTGACAGTTTCTGCTCTTGCTTTATCAGTGTAGTACACAGTGAGCTGATTTGCTTTCAAGACTGGAATACCTTCAAAGTCAGCTTAACACCACTTTGTTAGGTGTTCTGCAAGCAGTGACCTTTTAGAGGGCTGATGAGAATCTCTCATAACCTTCAACACTGTCATCACCCTGCTCCTCGCTCCATGGGGCTTCTGGCTCTTTGATCTTCAGCTCTTACCTGTACTAATGCTCTGGTAAAGAAGTGGGGCACAGAGGGGTGTTGAAGGATGCATTATTACACTTCATGAGATTACAAGTACATATCGAGTGAATTTTTGAAGTGCTTTATTTTAAAACAAAATTCATTATATAAGTGGTATAGGCTTGTGGTAAAAATATTAATATAGGCTGGGGATTTAGCTCAGTGGTGCCATGCCTGCCTCATAAGGACAAGGTCCTGAGATCGAGCCCTGGTCCTGGAAGAAATAAATAAATAAAAATAAAATTTTTTTTTATACCAGGGATCGAACTCAGGCCCTCGTGCTTGCGAGGCAGGCAGTGGCACCACTGAGCTAAATCCCCATCCCTAAATAAAAATATTAATACAGAAAAGGAGGAAGAAACCACATGAATCATAAAAAGTGCCACTTAGAAATGAACTCTGTTAAATTTTGGTGCCAAAAAAAGTAAACTCTTAAGAAAAAGAAAAACTTAAAAATCCTGTGAGTCGTGAATAATGAGCAGTGATCCACTCAGTTACTTCATGAAAGGCAGGGTAAGAAAACATTCCCTGGAAATGCCAGGTTTTGGGGTTCAGGGCCACTTACAGTTATGCCACTTACAGCTGTAGGACCTTGGGTAATTCATTTAACCACCCTGTGCCTACTTTCCTGATCTTTAAATACTATATTACAATCAGGCCAGCTTTGTAGAGCTGTTGTCAGGGTTAAACACACACTACATGCAAAGCCCTATGCTGGTGCCTGGTGTAAGCCCTCAGAAGGTAATGCAACATAAGTATTATGCATAGTTAGGTTCTTGGCAGAAGGTCATTGTAAGTTTACTCAGCAAGGATTCATTGAGCATCTGCCCTGGAAATTTGAAAAGGACTAAAACCCCTGTGAGGGTTATGGGGTGGGAAGAGTGGTATAGAGACAGACAGGAAAGTTGACTGGACATGCAAGCTTAGGGTGAGGATGCAGGGCAGGACGCACGTGAGGACATCATGAGGGTGAGACTGGTACCGTCAGCATGGCTTTGGAGGATGGTCCCTGAGCAGATTCTAAGGTCTTGTCAAGCTTGTTTTCCCCTTGTGTGCCTAGATACCTGGGAAGTGCCATTTGAGGAGATCTCAGAGCTACAGTGGCTGGGTAGTGGAGCCCAGGGAGCTGTCTTCCTGGGCAAATTTCGAGCGGAAGAGGTGGCCATCAAGAAAGTGAGAGAACAGAATGAGACGGATATCAAGCATTTGAGGAAGTTGAAGCACCCTAACATCATCGCATTCAAGTAGGTCAAGGCTTTTTTTTTTTTTTTTAAGAAATGGAGTTACTTTCCTTCCCCAAATATAAGCACATAAGTTTCTGATTTGAAAAACATTTCGGGAATATGCAATAGTCTTAGCACTGTGCTGGGTGCTTTGGGACAGTACTAAAGAGCTATTAAAGCTGGACACAGCTACATACACCTATAATCCTAGTACTCTAGGAGGCTTAGGCAGCAGTATGGCATTCAAGCTGAGGGTAAGCAACTTGGTGAGACCCTATCTCAGACATACACACACACACACACACACACACACACACACACACACACATTTAAAAAGGGTTGGAAAACTGGACTTTGGTGGCACATGCCTGTAATCCCTGCAGTCGGGCAGCTGAGGCAGAAGGGTTGCTGTGAGTTCAAAACCAGCCTGGGCTACACAGTGAGTTCAAGACCAGCCTGAACTACATAGCAAGATCCTGCCTCAAAAAATGTTTTTAATTAAAAATAAATAAATAAAAAGGGCTGGAGATTTAGCTCAGTGTGAATGCCCTGGGAGGAGGAGGAGGAGAAGGAGGGGGAGGGACAGGAGGAGGACGAGAGGAGGAGGAGGAGGAGGAGGAGGAGGGAGGAGGGAGAGGGAGAAGGAGAAGGAGAAGCGGGAGGAAGAGGAGGAGGAGAAGAAGGAGAAAAGAGGAACCAAAACCACATAAAAATCAGTAAGTCTGAGTCATGACGATAAGCTTTTAAACTAGTGCATTTTGCCAAAACTTACGCTTTAAGGAAGGGGATACACACGAAGGTAGGAGGTAGATTACAGGCAGTCAGATCTTTTGCATCAACTTCATTTATCAGTGGAATGACAGAGGTCACTTCCAGGTAATCTGATCATCCTCAAATTTAGTTAGAAAAAACCAAAGTTAATGTCTGAAGTGATCAGAAAATAACATTTCTTGTGCAATAGATATTCATTAGTTTCCATTATCATCAGTTCTGAATTATTAAATTGCATTATAGTCTCAGATGTTCTTGAATCTCTTATCTAGTAATGTCACACACAGCTTTCTAAATCTAATGATAGTAGAATTATTGGTGATATTAAGTTGTATTTCTTTCACAAAATGTTTCTTTTCAGGAGGATACAAACACATCTTTCTAGTTAGACCATTACTTTCTCAGTATTGATTGGAATTCCTAACAGAAAGAGGAAAGTCAAAGGTAAATTTGTGGCAGTCACCAAATTTGGAAATGCTGAGCTCTAAGTACATGTAATCTCTTCCTCTTAAGTGCCTTCCTAACCTTGACAGCCCTCAGATGTTGCCACTGCCCTGAACAAATGAATGGAAAGTGGTTTTAGAGGACAAAAAGTAAAGAACAGAAATTGCAGTATTGAAACGGAGTGGAAGGTTTAGAAACTACAGCTTCTGGCAATTTTGACATATATTTTTTATTCCTGGACAATAGTTTAACTGTTGAGGCTATAGTTAAAAGAAGTGAAATATATTATGAATTTCCCTTCCCTAAACTAGGAGCCACTTTTCCTGGCAGCCTCAAGGGGGATCCTTCCTCTATAAAACTATCATTAGGAAGCTCGAAGTATCATGTGATATGTCTTAATTGGAACTGTAGCCCTCAATTAAGAAAAAGACATCTTGCCTACAGGTTTGATAGAATAGATTTAAATAAGTACTGAGGTGAAATTTTCTTTTCCTTACAAGACCTTGGTGGAAGGGAAAATACAAGTAAAAAGAGGCATTTGGACTCATTTCCTTGCAGAAGGGACACTCATTCAGAGGACAGAGGGAGCTTCAGCTGCTGTTCTCTCATTGGTTGCTCTAGTGGGGCTAAGAGGAAACAAGACTGAATGAAATGCTATCGAAACCAATTGTAATTTTTCCAAAGATGATAAATTTCAAAAGATAATGGGAAGACACAACCCACTTTCCAGTCCCCCTTCAGTCTCTCTTAGACAGAAGCTTTCTTTCCCTCAATAAATTTTTCCTACTCTTAAAAAAAAAAAAAATAATGGGAAGGCTGTTTTCGGTAGATAGACAGAGAAGAGACCCTCTTCTTTCCTTCATTTTACTTCTCTGAAACGATCACACTTTCTGCATGCTCTTCCCTCCTAAGCAGGAGAAAAGGCCATAAACTTTTAAACTCAGATCAGTAGGTCGAGGCTAAGAGTATAGTATTCTGCAGACAGCATGGCTTTTTGGCCTCCTGAAATGATCTAGGATGTGTGTCCAGGTAAGAAGAGAGTATTCGAGAGGATGTCCTGGGTAAGGGAAAGGAGGAATGTATCCTAAGAGGATGGGTGAGTGAGAAGCTTTATTTTTTTTCCTTCCTTTCCTTTGCTTCTTCTGCCCTCCTCCTAGTCTTTCCCTCCCTAACCCTTCTAATGATCTCACCTCCACATTCAGTTTTCAGCATTTTGGGGCAAGCATTGCTGTGCTAGAGCCCAACTCTAAGCTGAAGATACTTGAATAGACTTTACCTCTACATGGAAAACAATAGCGAGTCTGTGTCCCTGGCCCGTTACATCACACTCTCAGGGCATTGTGCACTGTTATGTTTGCAGCCATCTGTGCCATGTGTTGTTGGCCAATGAATCACATTCAGGACCGTCTGGAAGATACAGGGCATGACTAGATTTTAATATGTCTCTCTAGATGCTGATTTCTGTGCCTCCAGCTTTTGATGTTCATAGGAACCATGCACAGAAAGGGAAGTACAAGATAAAAATACTATGTTTTTCTTTCTTTTTTTTTTAAGTAATCTTTTAAGAAAATCCATCGTGATTCTTCCTAATGAAATTCAGTATCAAGGGAAGAAAAGGTAGCAATTAGAATTAAGTGATTATTAAGCTGTTATTTATAGGTACTAAGAATCCTTGTCCTTGTACAGAGTTGCTAGAATGATTTGCTTCTCATTTCACTCATCAGTCAAGAGAAATGAAAAGTTTATAACCTACCACTCTTAGACCCTTTCTATATTTGTGTGACAAGTTAAATAGTTAAATAGGATGCTAAATGCCTTTAAAGAATTATTTATCTTGTTATTCTTAAGCACATTACATTATTCCTTTCCTTTTCATTACATCTCTTAGCTGCTCCACTGAGCAACTATAAAATTTCCACTGAGATTATATAAAAGTCAAATAACATACTTAAAAATTTCTCATTAAAAATCAAGATGAAAATTATACATAGTCTAGAAAATGGTATGAGAGTAATAGAAATAGCTTTATAGCATTTGACAGGTGTATCAAAGCAGGGAAAATGGAAACTAATTAAATTCTTTATAACCTGCTATTGTTACAAGACCTCTACATGATCAGTACTTCAAGTCATGGCCTCTAAATTCTTTCCTTACTTACAGGAGCTGAGAGATAGGACATGAATCACTAGCTGGCTGACACCTTTAACCAGATGTCTTGTAGACAGTACTCTGTTAACTCTTCTAGAAGGTTTTAAGAAAGGTGCACATGCCCTTTAGAGGTGGAACACAGACAATTACATATTACAGTTTTTTCTTTGAACTTAAGAACAGAACTATGAAGAACTATAATTTTTCCACTTTTATGAGCAAATGGTATTAACATAGGAATCCCCAAAATGCTTGTCTATCCAGAAGTTAAAAGGCTAAACAAGGAGACAGTATAGTACAGTGAGAGAAAAAGAGGCAGACTTTGAAGTTACACTGAATTTGAATCTGTAACTCATTACTTGTGTAAGTCATTGTAATTGAGATAAGCCATCTTCACTCTGAGGCTTACCTGTAACAATGCTGTGGCAGGAGGACCACAGGTTGGAGCCCAGCATGGCCAACTTAATGATTCTATCTCAAAGTAAAAACTATAAAAAGAGCTGAGACTACACTTCATTGTGAAGACCCTGAGTTCAATCCCCATTATTGCAAAAACAAAAAATAAAACAAAACAACCTAATGGCTACTGTGTCATAGGAACTTGGAAGAAAGATCAGAAAAGGCTTCATGGGAGATGGAGGAAAGGATGGAAATATAGGCTGCAGGAGGATCGCTGTGAGTTCGAGACCAGCCTGGGCTACATATGAGTTCTAGGTCAGTCTCAAATACATAGTGAGACCCTGACTCAAAAAACCAGAAAAAAAAAAAGATAATTTAAATTATTCTTACAATCTAAAACCACACAAGCCTGTACAAACCTCAGGAAAAAAAAATACTGTTCCAGAATGGATTAGTCCTACATAAAACCACCAGCTACGGTACAGCCTCTAACTCTCTGGAGTGAAGAGCAAAATTAAATTGTCAATATACATAGTAGAGTAACCTATAGACCAGAGAATTTCAATACTAATTCAAGAATCAGGAAAAATTATTTACATGCATTTTTTAATCATTTGGGTAGAGAATTGGTCTTTATTAAATGTTGTTAAAATATAAAATGCATACATGTCTGTTGTATGTGTGCATTCATGTACATTTTATGCTTTCTTGGAAGGGGTGTGTGCACTCAGGCACCGTGTTACTGTATTATCATGGAGTACTGTGCTCATGGACAACTTTACGAGGTCTTGCGAGCTGGCAGGAAGATCACACCTCGATTGCTAGTAGACTGGTCCACAGGAATTGCCAGTGGAATGAATTATTTGCATCTCCATAAAATTATTCATCGTGATCTCAAATCACCCAAGTGAGTTCATCTATTTTGTTTTGTTGTTTGAAATAAGAATTTTTAATCAATCCTAATTGGTGTTTTCACGCATCATACTTTTAGCCCAATGTAAGGCAGTGCTGTGGTTATATATTGTTGTATTTTAGTATTTTTTGGATTCTTATTGAGCTTATTACTTATGTATATGAAAGATGTGTTCAGGTACACTAGTTATCCTGTTTTATTGCTTTTAAATTATACACATGTGCAACAAAATTCATTATTATCTGAAGTATTCGCCTTTCAGTATCACAGATAATTAATCCTTACTTCTCCACTTGAAGTCTTGGTTCATTTTTCTACTCTATTCCAAAAAAAAATTTAACTGAATTTCAGAAACGTACGCAATAGGATAAAAATGGATGAATAAGAAACATACAGAAAGAGAAAATAAAAACATTACAAGCCCGACCTGTTCATGAAAGGTATGCCATAAAATTCTACACAGCCATTTGGGGTAGACTGCAAATTGGGCTCTGAGCATCTAAGCAAAAGAAAAAAATAAATGTTGATAGTGACAGCAGCCATAAGAAAAATGGCTAATTCGATCACCAGTGCCAAAAAAAAGAAAAAGAAAAATGCTAAAGAGAAGCAGAGCTGTTTCTAGCAACCTATGTTTCCAAAATGATTCCTTGGTAACCAATAACTGCTTTAAGAGAAGTGTTTATTCAGTTTCCAAAATTGCATGAATGCAAAAATGGAATTGAGAAAATGGTATATTTCCAGGTAGCTCCTATTTTGAAACATTATTTGTATTATTTGTCATCACTTTGGTTTACAGAAAGACTGTTCTCTTTTCGAAAACCTATTTGCATAATATTTTTATGATTTATAACATTTTCAAATATCCACTATCACCTCTCCTTTAATTCTGGCAAAAACTATATGGGATGCATGTAACAACATCATTATCCTGACTGACGTAAGAGCAGCTAGGCCTCCCGCCAAAGTCACGGCACTAGATCTTGGCCCAGAACTTTTGAACCAGTGGTGCCTGCATCCTATCTCATCATGTGAACGAAAGGAATTCACGATGAGTCCTGCCTCTTCTCCTTAGAACACAAAATCTGACTTTGAATATAAACTTAAAGCACCTCTTATTTACCACCATCATATTCAACCATGTTTATTACCGTAGTTAGTTCACCGAACAACTGCCTTGCTTTATGTGCAAATAAACATGAATGTATAGTGTTCATTCCTTCTGTTTGCATTCTTTACACAATCTGCTGCTTTTGCCTCCCCCCATAAAATATGTGAAATACTTTCTAAAGGCATATTTAGTGATGTCCTTTTTTAACCATCACGTTCTGGAGAATTAATTTTGGAGGAGTCAGGAAGTCTTCACATACACACAATCACAGGGTCCTCGCCTTTACTCTTGTCATTTAGAGGTCGGAGTAGTAGCTGGTCATCTAGTGAGTCTTCCCCCTATCACAATACAACTGCCAGCCCGGGTGGTCTGAGCCTCCAGATTTCAAGTGAACTTTAAGAAGACAAATAATGATCTGGCTCACTGTGGCAAGAAGTTTCATTGACTACATTAAATCTAAAGTCTGTAGGACCCTAACTTTGTTCAGGATTTCAGGAGAGTCCCAGTGTGGCATCAGTTCTAACCTCCCAAATCCATTCCCTCTGTGCCAACTGAGGCAGAAGTGGCAGTTCCTACAGTGCTTGCCTTTCTAAGGGCTTTCCACGTTTTTCTAGCATTCGTGGAATATGGTAATAGTTTCCCAAACGTCTCAGATATGCCAGAACATTGTAATCTTCATGTGTTTTCACCAACACTAATACTATCAAATCAAAACTCCCAAATTATGTGAATTTACGTATCAGGTACCAAACCAGAGGTAGGATGTGGCTGAAGGTATTCTAACAATTGTTAGTCCTGAGCTTTTCAGTAGATAACCATTTGGCTTTAGGGGTGTGGGCAAGGGTAAAAGGAGAAGGAAGGAGACAGATTGAACATTTTTCTGTTTTCTAGTTAGAAAACAAGTTAGTATCCAGTTAGATACTATTGACTCTAAAGCCTCGTACTGTTCAAAAGAAAAGGGTCCTATATCTAAACTTAGACTCTTCCTCCCTGACTCCTTCACCTTCTAAAGTTCTGAACATTTTTTTTTTAAAGTGAATTCAGTCTACAGTGGGGAAGCTGCCAGAGCTACAAATTTACATTCATCTTTAAGGCTAACAAAAGCATTTTGGCCCAGGACACATTTTAGATAACTCCTGCGAAAAATAAAACATGACTTGTGTGGAAACTACTTAAGTTTAAATTTATTTCTGCTTTTCCTTGTCAGGACTAGTGAAATCCCAGCCAGCATTCACAGTAGTCTTTTAATCAGTGAGTCTCTGGTGTCATCGTTCCATTCATCTGAGATAAATAACATTTAGGAACATTTTCTTTAGTGGATTAACTGAGACTGGCAAGGATGGAAACCAGTGTATATTGAGCATTGGTGCTTTATGTATCTCAGTTCATTTAATTCATATAAAAACTCGAAGAGGTCATTACAGAATGACCCCCATGGGACCACAACTCAAAGAGCCAGGTGATTTCAGGAAGATCACCCTGAGCTACTTCAGACATTCACAAAATCAAGGAGCCCCCCTGAATCAACTGCATTAATATCTCTGTGGTGAAACCTGTGACACTGGCACAAAATGAGAGGAAGTGAGTTTGCCTGATAAACGTGAACAAATATCTGGGAGCTATTCAGAGAACTTTTAGCAGTTCCGAATTGCAGCTAAGGTACCATAACCTGAATTACCTCCAGTTGGCAGGCAAGAAAACTAGCCTGGAAGAGTTAAGTAACTTAACAGTTACACGGTTAGCAAGTATAGGGGCAGGATAAAAGCAGGTAACAGCCATGCCACCTCACAGGTCCGAGTGCAACTGTTTCTGGCTCATAACTCATGCCTAGTAATGCTCCAAACTGCAAGCTGAAGTTCTTCCACAAGGCAGAAAGCAGTAAGCAAACATCTTCAGTGGCCGTTTAGAGTCGTGGTTTTCATTAGTGCTAATGATCTGGATGTTTCCTTTATTTCTTTATTTCTTTTTTAAAGTGTCTTAGTGACTCACACAGATGCAGTGAAAATTTCAGATTTTGGGACATCTAAGGAACTCAGTGATAAGAGCACCAAGATGTCCTTTGCAGGCACAGTTGCGTGGATGGCCCCAGAGGTGATACGGAATGAGCCTGTCTCAGAAAAAGTTGACATATGGTAAGGGGCCCCTGAAAGTCTTCTCCCACATTCGCTGCATTAGTGCTTCCTTCCTTCTACACTTACCAAGATATTCTTTTTTTTTTCTGCACTACTGGGAATTGAATCTGGAGGCTTTGCACTAAGATACATCTCCAGCCCTATTTTTTTCTTTTTAATTTTGAGACAGAGTCTCTCTAAGTTGCTAAATTTCCCAGGCTGGGCTCAAACCTATAATCTTCCTGCCTCAGCCTACCAGAGTGCTGGGACTACGGGTGTGAGCCAATATGCCCAGCATCTTTTAGAAGTTGTGTATTTTTAGGACAAGAGATTTAGCTCAGTGGTTCCACCACCTGCCTTGCAAGCTCAAGGACCTGAGTTTGATCCCCAGTACCAAAAAAAAAAAAAAGAAGTTGTATATTTGTATTATCCACATTTAATTCTTTGATTAATTTATAATTTATCTTGAAATAGGGGAGGGGTAGATTTAATTTTCCCTAGTTGTCCCAATGCCATTTATTAACCAGTCAATTTATTTCCACTAGTTTGTTTGTTTGTTTGTTTGGTACTGGGGATTGAACTCAGGACCTTGCACTTGCGAGGCAGGCACAGTGCCACTGAGCTAAATCCCCAGCTCCTCACTAGTTTGTAATATCATTTCTACCATATGTTAAATTTCTGTGTACATTTGGTGTATTTCTATATTCCTGTTCCAGTCCTTTGATCACACCCTCTTCATATGCACCAGAATTAATTATTGAGACCATATTTGGTATTTAATATTTGGTATTGTTGGTTACTCTTCATTGATTTTCTTTTTCAGCAATTTCCTAGACTTTCTGTTTTTCTTATGGCAGTAATTTGAATTGTAAAACTGAGTGTATCAATTTGATTAAAAATTAGTAAGGTGTGGAGCAGGAGGCGGGAGGAGCGTCACATGTTCGAGGCCAGCCTGGGCAACATAGTGAGTTCAAGGCCAGCCTGAACTACATGGCAAGACCCTGTTTCAGAATTTTTTTACATTAAGAAAGAGCTAAAATACAAATCCACCAGTCTGAAATGTCTTTTGTATGTGTTCCTAATTCTGCCGTAGGTCTTTTGGAGTGGTGCTGTGGGAACTCCTGACGGGAGAGATCCCCTACAAAGATGTAGACTCCTCAGCCATTATTTGGGGTGTTGGAAGCAATAGCCTACACCTTCCAGTTCCTTCCACTTGCCCGGATGGATTCAAAATCCTTATGAAACAGACATGGTAAGACTATATTTCTCCCAATATCCTCTTGTACTTTCTTCCTCAAATGCATCTATAATGCGCGGAAACAGCAAATGGTCTCTAAAGCGTATGAGGGGTGAACCAGCTGGTGGTGGAAAGCCCAGGAGCTGTGGAGTTGAGAACCTTGGGTTCAGATACGGGCTCTGCCTCTTTTTAAATCTGTGTGCTTAGGGTCACATCGCCGTGTATCAGTTTTCTCATCTGTAAACTAGAACTAGCACCTGCTCACAGAGTTGCTGGACTGTAACTGAGTAAAACTTACAAGTGAAGCAATAGGCCTTAGTAAACAATGCTATTATTACCTTAGCAGCCTACAGGACTATTTTATGGGTCAGTGATCCTAGTTAGATTTCCATTTCACTCGTGGCAGGATCTCCTAATTACATTTTCCTTTCTCCCTTCAGAACATCAAAATTGTCTGCGATACAGCCACTTTGGAGTACAACAAATGTGCTTCAGAAAGTAGAATAAAATCTTCACCCTCCAGATCCTAACTTCCAAAAAGCATAAACTGTCTTTTTATTTTAGGCAGAGTAAACCTCGTAACCGGCCTTCTTTCCGGCAGACTCTCATGCACTTAGACATTGCGTCTGCAGATGTGCTTGCCACCCCACAAGAAACTTACTTCAAGTCCCAGGTAAGAGGGGAGGCACCCATCGCAGTGCTACTGAACAGACAGACAGGGAACACTCAAGGGGAAAGGGTTGCTTTTAGAGGGGGCCTGCTCTTAGCCTTCAGACAATTACATAGCTCTCTTTTTTGTGAAATAAATAATAACTGACATACATCACACCTATGACGCAGTGGTTTGTTGAACAAAGCATATACTAGCTCATTTGAAAAGAACATAAATGTTAGAATGTCATCTTTAGGGCATTCTGGCAAAATTGTTGGAAAAGTGATGCAAAACACTATAATGCTTCTACATTTGAATTACAATTTCTGTTGACCTTCATGAAAGCATTGCTTTCCTTAAAGCACAGAAGCTCATACATGGAAGAGGGCAGTTAGCTATCAAGAAGAGTCCATGATAGAATTAAGCCCATGGAAAACCTTTTCTCTAACTTTAAGTGTGTTACCCTGACAGCTCCAAATAAAATATAAGTTAATGTTTCTGATAGTCTTAACTGTATCAAAATCATCCCAAGACTTAAAGCTTAAAACAATAAGCATTTATTTAGCTCCCCATCCCGTGGGTCGATGATTTAAACTGGGCAGTTCTTCTGATGGCTCTGGCCCGGCTCATTCACAGGTCTGCTGGGAGGCCGGGCTATGCCAGGTGGTCCCATTCACAGGTCTGAGGAGACCGAGGCATTAGCTGGAGCACCTGCACACTCTTTTGCGTGGCCGCTAACCCTTCAGCAGGCTGGCTCAGGCTTGATCACATGATGTCCTCAGGGTGGTAAATACAGCAGGGGAACCAGGCCCAGGGCACAAGTGATTTTCAAGCCTGCCAATACTCTTTGGCCAAAGCAAGTCACAGGCCACTGAGATCTACAGATTAAGAAAAGATGTCACCTCTTGATAAGAGGATTTGCACTGGTGCCTTATAAGGGCATAGACCAGGGGGGACGTATTATGACTTTACATAAAAAGCTGTAGGGGCCATAAAGCTTGGTGGTCTGGCCATGATCTCTATGGATAGGGACTGTGCTAGAGGAGCATTTGCAACGTCCTTATATCCCTATTAGACCCACACAGTGTCAAAAGGCATAGAGCTGTGGCTTTGGAAGTAAATGTGATGGCCCTATATTATGGCTTCATGTTCACAGAATGTATAATATTACTGAATTTCTTATTTCTCATGTGACTTGTTGTGTTTCTAAAATCAATTTCTGTCAAGTTAATTCCATCCACCCATTGACTTTCAGTATTATTTCAAAAACTTGTTCTCAAAAAAGATACTTCATTGCCAATTAACTGAAAAAATAGACTAAAATGCAAAAAAAAAAGTTATGCTTCACTGGGAAAGGAAAATGGACACCTACACAGTTTAAAGATGAGAATGAGAAAAATATTAACAGAGTAATATATTTGAGATTCTCTGAGTATAAGCCCACAGCTGTCCAAGTGTGATCTGTGGACTTCTAGGAGTTCCTAAGACTCAGGACATCCATGAGATTGGAACTATTTTCATAATAATATTAAACCATTCATTATTTACCATTTTTCACTCTTGTTTTTTCAAGAGTATAAGTGAAACGTTCTAGAAGCCCGGTGTGGTGGCACATACCTGTAATCCCAGCACATGGGAGGCTGCAGCAGGAGGATCACCTCAAGTTTGAGGCTAGCCTGGGCTACATAATGAGTTCAAGACCAATTTAACTACATAGTGAGAACTTATCTCAAAAAAAAAAAAAAGTGAAGTGTAGGAGACTAACTTCATGACATTTCCTGTGGTCTTTGGTATATATTCAGAAAGTTCCCTTCATCCTATTAAAACTGTTGACTATCCAGATACATGTAGATATAGAACATTGTATATGAAACCTTTCGAACATCTTCCGTTTCTGTTCAGAAAAGACTTGGCCTTTTCATGGAATGAGAGAGAATGATAGTGCGTGCTCTCAGGACATCTTTCAAACATTAGGATGTGTTTCAGTCACAGCTCTGCTTTCTTTACAGTAAAACTGTACCTACCACAATTTTGAAAAGCGGTAGCAAGGATATGAAGTCACAAGCCAGGGAGAGAGCCAGTTGAACTGTGTATACTTATAAATATTCAAATTCTAAAGGGATTTTACTTAAATGCTCTCAAAATATCACTTTTGAAGCCAGTGCGACTTTGCACATGCAATGCCTCATGCAGGGCAACAGAGTGGACACAGGCAGCATTTTTCTTCACCTGGACCTCCTCGCTTTCATTGTCAAGATACCCCCAGGATGAGGGTTAACTTTGAGCCCGTCAAGGTTATTCTGGAGCAAGATTGATTGAGGAAAGCAGAGGATGAGGAGGACGAAGAGAGAAGGGGAGATGAGGGAAGGGGAGGGAAGAGAGGGAAAAATAGCACCTTCAGCATCTGTTGCAATCAAGTCAGGCAGCTGCAACAACATGCCATGCCGTGAGTGGCTTACAAGACAACAGAAATTTGCTTCTTACAGATCGGAGGCTGAGAAGCCCAAGATCAAGTCCCAGCACCAGCAGATTGAGGGCCTGTGAAGGTCTGAGTTCTGGTTCACAAATGATGCCCTCTCCCTGAGTACTCACATAGCAGAAGGACAAATAATCCCCTGCCTTGCTGAATAAGGACACGTAACACCACCAACTCCCAAAGGCCTCGCCTCCTAATGCCACCACTGCGGGGGTTAAGATTGCAACATGCAAATTCAGACCTTCGCAGCAACTTCTAATGTTCACTAATTTGCCCACGCTTCTCTCCCATCATAAAATGACACTTATCCTTAAATATCCCCAAATCTTCTATTGTTGACAGTTCCTAGAGTTTTTCAGGTATATACAAGCTGATGCATCACTGAATCTAAAATTGAAACTATCTCTGGCTAATGATAATAAAGTATTTATGAACTAATGAGGTACTCAGAAAACCCATGGACTTGAGTCTAAACCCCTGTCCTGTCACTTAATATTGTGTCACTTAATACTACTTGAGTAAGTCACTACATTTCTCCAGACACAAGCTTACTCATCGAAACAATGGAGATAATCATATCTTCCCTTACTTAGAAAATTTCTGTGAAGATCAAATGCGAACATTAAAGTGCAGCTGCATTGTACATTATCAAGAACAGTTTGATTGTGAAATTAATTATTCACCTCACACAAAGCTATAAAAAAAAAGCTATAAAAACAACTCCTTTAAGTTGTTACCTGCTGGGTACTTTTTCTGATAAGTCCTGAGATGACTCAGATGGCAGTTAGGGAACTCCTATTAATTGTGCTTTGACTTTGTCCTGCCCCAACAGGGAAGAACTAGCTGTTCAGCACATCCGTGGTTTGCTCTTCTGTACCTGGGGCCCAGCCTCCTCTAGCCTGCTGATAAGGTGCCCTCGGTGCCAATTACCAATCCCTGTCTATAGTCCCTGGTCGCCACCTTCCACCAGGACTGTCAGTCAGTAGTGCCACCAGAAGTCCAGCTCACCCCTTCCTGGGAGAAAAAGCTTCATCTGTTTCTCAGTAGCAACACATATAGAAAACACAGATAGAAAAGATGACAAGGCAAGCAATATCAGTACAATATTAGGTTCTGCCAAAGTTATTGCTTCATTCCCAGACATGGCTCATTTCTCCAAGGAGGCAGTGATTGCTCCTGGTATTCAGTTACATTTCCTGTGAGTCTTTAGAAAATGATCTAGCCTTGTCCCATAGCCCCGCTGTTAGGTGGGTCCCAGGCCCTGCTTCTAAGCTTTCCCACCTCCCTCTGCCTTTGTACTATTCTGGCTTCTCCTTGGGTGCCACTGGGACCATCCAGAAACTCAAGGACTGGGGGCTGCTGAGACACCAGCTCGTTTTAGAGGTAACCTGTGCTGCTTCTGAGCAGTCTCACAAGTGAGTAACTGCAGAGGCTAGACCCTCATACTGGGGAGGTGGTAAGGAGGACTCAAGTTCCCAGTTCAGAGCTGAACTGGATGCTCTCTAAGGTTTATCTCATTCAAGTCCATGATTTCCATGACTAAGCCCAAGAACTTTGCTTTTGTGTTTCTTAAACTAGACTGAAACTGACCTGACTTTCTTAATTTACTTTAAAAAATTATGATAAAATATAAAATTTTCTGTTTTAACCAGGTTAAATGTATAATTCAGTGGCATATGTTACCTTCACAATGTTGTGTAATACAACTGTTGCTTCCAAAACTTTTCATCACTCCACTGAACAGTAACTCTGTTCCCTCCTTTAGTTGCTGATAATCTCGATTCTACTGTCTATGAATTTGCCTATTGTCCATATATCATTTAAGTGATATCACACATTTGTTCTTTTATATCTCACTGATTTCACTTAGCATGTTTTCGAGTTTCATCTATATTGTAGCATGCGGCAGATTATTTTTATGATTGTAAAATAGTCTGTCTTATATACTATTAAGGGCCCCTGAACATTACAGGAAACCTCTGCAGTAGGCTCTAGTCTCCGGCTCAGTGTACATTGCAGGCCTGAGGAAAAAAACTAAGAGACAGAGCTAAGAGAGACAGAAAGCTGGATATCAGGATGACCATTGCCAGTGCAACTGACAAAGGCCCTGGCCAATCCATCCCACTGATTTTTATTGGTCATCAATTGGGGTAAAGGTGAACTACATGCAAGGATGTGCAATCATGCAGTTTCTATGGAAACTAATGGAGACAAGGCTCATAAAGGCAAAGGCAGAGCATTCTCAAATTAGTAACAGAATAGACAAAATATATGGTTGTAATTAGAACATTGTCCTTCTAGTAAGAAGGTTAGTTCTGGGTTTAGTAACAGAATAGACAAAATATATGGTTGTAATTAGAACATTGTCCTTCTAGTAAGAAGGTTTTAGTTCTGGGAACAGAATTTGGGTGTGCGTTACTCTGACCTCAGTATGTAGGCTTCAACCAGACTTGTTTCTCAAAGCAAGCCAAATTTGGAGTTAACTCTTCACAGCCTGTGTGCTTACAGCCTACTTTGGGCGTAATCAATATTGCAGGCTCCCACA